AATAGACAACAGTACAATAATATTAGACTTCACTGCTAGACCAAAATGGACCCAACACAGATATCAGAACATTCCATTCAACAGAAGTAGAATACACATTCTTTTCAAGCACACATGGGGTGTTTTCTAGGACAGATCACACAATAGTCACAAAACAAATTTGAACATATTTAATAAGATTGAAATCATTCCAATGTATCATTTTTGAGAAAAATAGAAAAAAAACCTGTAAATCAATAACAAAAAGGAAATCAGGAGTACTCACAAATAAGTGGAACTTAGCATAACATTGGATGACCATTGGATCAAAGAAGAAATCAAAAGGAAATGGAAATTAGAAAATATTTTGAGACAAATGAAAATAAAAATACAACATGCCCAAATAATGGGATTCAGCAAAAGCAGTCCTAAGAGTAAAGTTTAAACTGATAAGCACCATTTTCTAAAAAAAGAAAAATCTCAAACAACCTACCATTACATCTCAAGGATCTAGAAAAACAAGAACAAACTAAGCACCAGTTAGCAGAGGAAAGAAATAATAATGATTTGAGTAGAAATAAAAGAAGTAGAGAATAAAAAAAAATAGAAAAAGGATAAAAATCAGAGTTGTTTTTTTTAAAGAAACAAAATGGACAAACACTTGGCTAGACTAAGAAAAGGAGTGCCCAGTGACGTCCAAATCAGAAATGGAAGTGGAGACATGAAACTGGTATCACAGAAGTAAATTATTAACAACTTATTAACAAAGGATTATTATTAACAATTATATTCCAAAAAACTGGACCACTTAGAAGAAAAGGAGAAATTCCTAGAAACATACAACCTACCAAGAATGAATTAAGAAGAAACAGAAAGCCTGTACAGACAAAAACAAGGAGATTGAATCAGTAATCAAAAACCTGCTAATAAAGAAAAGCCCAGGAACATATGGATACATATATGAATGTTACTGTTTAAAAAAGCATTAGTGCAAATCCTTCTTAATCTCATCCAAAAGAATAGAAGGAACACTTCCAAACTTATTTTATGAGGCCAGCATCGCCCTAATACCAAAGACAGACAAAGAGACCACAAGAAAATATCCCTGATACAACAGAATGGTGGTTGCCAGAGGGGAAGGAAAGTGGGGGGATGGGGAACAAATTTGGTAAAGGGGGTCAAATATATGGTAACAGAGGGAAACTAACCTTTGGTTGGTATACAGACATCAAATTATTATATTGTATACCTGAAATTGATGTAGCAATACCAAGTTTCTTGATATTGGTCCTGTCAGTGATTTCTTGGGTATGACAAAATCACAAGCAACAAAAACAAAAATACATAGATGAGTAGGATTACATCAAATTGAAAATCCTTTGCAGAGTAAAAGAAGATAAAATGAAATGGAACCTCTGGAAAGTGAGAAAATATTTGTGAACTATATAACTGACAGGGGTTATGCTCCAAAATATATAAAGAACTCCTAGAACTCAATAGCAAAAGAAAAAGAATCCAATTTAAAAAATGGGCAAAGGACTTGCATAGACATTTCTCCAAAGAAGACATAGAAATGTCCAGCAGCTGTATGCAAAGATGCTCAACATTGCCAATCAGGGAAATGTAAACTGAAACCACAGTGAGTTGTTATCACCTCACACTTTTTAGGATAGCTGTATTACACAATGGTCAAAAGATAAGTGTTAGTGAGGATATAGAGGAATTGGAACCCTTGTGCACTGTTTGTGGGAGTGCAAGTTGGTGCAGCCACTGTGAAAAATAATATAGAGAGTCCTCAAAAAATAAAAATAGAGCCACCAGAAATCCCCTTTCTGAATATATATCCAAAACAATTGAAATCAGGATCTCAAAGAGATATCTGCATCATTATTTACAACACCCAAGATATGGATATTATTCTGCCTTTAAAAAGAAAAAAATCCTGCCATTTGCAACAACATGGATAGACCTGGAAGACATCATGGTATGTGAAATAAGACAGTCATAGGAAAACAAATACTGCATGATTCCCCTTAGATGAGGCATCTGAGACAGTTGAATGTACAGAAGTAGACAATAGAGTGGTGGTTATCAGGGGTTGGGGAAAAGGTTTATGTGGATTAGATACTCAGTTGTTATAAAGGTCCATGTATACAAGATGAATAAATTCTGAAACTCCGCTGTACCATGCAGTGCCAATAGTTAACAAGGTATTGTGCACTTAAATTTTTTTAAAGATTTTATTTATTTACTTTTAGAGAGAGGGGAAGGGAGGGAGAAAGAGAGGAAGAGAAACATCAATGTGTGGCTGCCTCTCAGGTGCCCCTTACTGGGAACCCGGCCTACACCCCAGGCACGTGCCCTGACTGGGAATCAAACCAGCGACCCTTTGGTTCACAGGCCAGCACTCAATTCACTGAACCACACGAGCCAGGGCTGTGCACTTAAAATTTTGTTAAGAGGCTAGATTTTATTTCAAATGGCCTTACACACACACACACACACACACACACACACACACACGAACAAAAAGGAACTTTTGGAGCTTAGGGATATATTTATAATCTTGATTGTTTTGATGGTAACACAAGTATATACATATGTTTAAACTCATCAAATTTTATACATTAATTATGTGCAGTTTTCGGTATACCAATTATAACTCAAGCTGGGGGGAAGACATACTAACAACTTTGACTTTCTCCATAGAAGAAAGAAGCATTGAAAGAGAAGTAAAAAGTAAATAAAAAAAATCAGACCATTAAGCCAGCTTAAGGTATTTATAAGACTGCATAGTACTCAATATTTCATATTGTCTTTGAACCTGGTAGAAATTTGTCATTTTAAGAGCATGTTGCGGAAAGAAAAGTATAAAAGCCTTTCTGTTGTACTCATAGAAGCTTTTCTCATGCCTATTTATAGACTTCAGTCAGTCACACGAAATACAAAACCCCCTGCTTCTGAAGTGGAGTCAGTAAGAAACACTTTAAAAAAATAATGGATATTTAAGAAAATTGTTTGTATCTCTCACATCAGCCACAATCTTGGCAGGTTTAAAAATTTAAGAAAAGAATTCCTGAGGGAGATGATCAACTTCTTTTCTTGAGAAAAAAAAGTTAAGGGTAAAATAGAAGAGACTCATATCTGCTTTGGATTGTTTTCCATTGGTTGTATTACAATCAAATTAATACATATTTTCCATGTCTGAGGTCAATTGTGCAGTACCATGGGGCTGTTTCTGACTCTATATTTGTGGCACTAGTTTAATACTACCTTTGCACCTGGTACTGTGTACAGGCCACTACTGTAGTCTCTTCATTAATTTGTAAAAGTATTTTATTAGCAGCATGAGAAATTATTAGTTTCTCTAGTCTCTGGCAAAGTTGTAAATATTTTTCTTATTCATATGGTAGTTAATTCAGCTCTCCAAAAATGAGTTTTGTCCTGAAATATTATGCTGTTGATCTGTTCTTGACCTGTTCAAACTTACTTCCTTAGGATCCTTCAGGCTGTGAAGGAATTTCACTGATATCGGTGACAGTGTTTTTGAACTTAAATTTTCAATGATTCACTTAATGACTTTTACAGAATTAGAACAAAGTCTTCTAGTTCATTGCCTCCCAAAATGTCCATAATGCTTGCTCATTACTAGATAAGACTTGCATGCTAGTTATGTGCTAAAGATCATAAAAGTTTACTTGTTGAGAATTATAGTTTAGATACCCAGAATATACAACATGATGCAAAACAGATATACTGGTAATAAAATATAACGTTCAGAAAGTTTCCCTTTAAATTATTTGCTATTATTTGGTGAGACTTCTGATAAACTTATTTAAGTCCTGTGTTCTTATTACATGCTTGACTTTTGGGGGGACTAGGAATAATGGACCACATTTTTAAATTGACTTTATTGGGGTGACACTGGTTAATACCATTATATAGGTTTCAGGTGTACAGTCTATAATGCATTATCTGCATATTGTATTGTGTTTATCACCCCAAGTCAAGTCTCCTTCCATCACCCTTTATCTCCGCTTTACCTCTTCTACCTCCCCCCACCCCACTTTTTCAGCCAGTCCTCCAACCCCCATTTCCTCTGATAGCTGTCAGTCTGTTCCCTGAATTATGAGTCTGTTTCTGTTTTCTTTGTTAGTTTATTTTGGTTATTAGACTCCACATGTAAGTGAAACCATATGGTAGTGATATTTCTGTGACTGGCTTATTTCACTTAGCTTAATACTCCAGGTTTATCCATGCAGTTGCAAAGGGTAAGATTTGTTTCTTTTTTATGGTCTTACATGCCTAATTTTTGTCTTTTTGTGCCAGCTTTCATCAATTTAAGGTGTGTTAAGAACTTGAATGATGGATGTTTCAAAAAGCTTTTCTTCTGTTGCTTTTTTTTAAATTCAGGTAGAATTCACAGAACCTAAAAGTAACCATTTTAAAGAGTACTGTGTGATGGCATTGAACACATTCACAATGTTGTGCAACCATCCACGCCACCTAGCTCCAAAAAAAGCACTTAAGCTTATTATTAATGTAGAGAACTGCTTTATGTATTGAGTACCATACATGTGGTTTCATTATTAACAATACAAAAGTATGTTATATTGATTTTAAGACCAAAAAAATAAAGTTCAGATAGCTTAAGTAATTTACCGAAGACCATACGCATAATATATTACCCAGCCAGAATGCCTGTTTCCAAAAGTTATATCCATTTCATTGTGCTCAACGTACCCTTCTCCAACTCACCTTTCATCAGTGAATATGTTTGTAAGGTAGCCAGGCATTTTCGTGTGCCAGCATGCAGTAAAGCTGCTGCTATTCTAGTGTGCTAATAGTTCAGGAAAGCATGTATTTGAGAGTTTGCGTGATACAGGCTCTTAATATATGTTTACATACTTTCCTGTGATTAAAAGGTTTGTTGACTATTTCAAGTTATGTTTAGCAACCATTGCAGAGAAAGGAACTATGTCATGTTCTGTGGTATTCTTTACCCTTTTGCTCCCTTTCAGATATGCTTCTTCTGTAAAGGATGGCTCCCAGTATTTTGTGCTCCTGATTGTGACAGATGGCGTTATCTCAGATATGGCTCAAACAAAGGAGTCTATAGTGAATGTAAGTAGGGGCCATTTGGTCTTGGGCTGGCCAGGGGACAGCATGCAACTCAGGTTGAGACCAGAGTCTTGTTGACTCCACAGTGAAACAAATGCCCTTGCCTTTGAAGCTGGTTGCATTGTTAACATTATTCAGACACATTTGTTCCACTGATCCGATCCATAAGTACTAAGCTAAAGATATGGATAGCTGAGTTGTAACAAAATTACTGGTACTTCCAAAAAATAAAAAAAATAAGATAATAACACTACCTTTATAACATGAGTGTGTTCATTTACCTTTTAGTTTGATGTACTTGTACACAATTTTATAATTTGTGTGAAATGTTTTTTAATATTGATTTTTCAGTTACAGAACTGTGCTAATTTCTGTTTCTACAGAACTAAATAGGAACTGGACTTCATTCAAAAAACATTTTTCTCATTATTATTTCTATTTGTGTTATATTTAATGATTATTTGATTGTCTTCTTTATTAGTCCATAAGCTATAAAATCTACATGTACTAGATTATAATCAATAAAATTATTTCTGTTTTTACTCCCCCTTCTATAACCAGGCTTAGCAACATTTGACACAAAGTAGACACGTAGTATAAATAGGTGGCATGAATGTTTATCACGCCTCATAATTGTTAATAGCATGGAGAAAATACAATTAGCTCTTTGACGTGAGAGAAAAATAGTTTCATGTAGGGGAAAATCAAGGGCTTTATAGACATATGCTTAGAAAAAGACAAACATAAAAAGGAGGAGGAGGAGGAGAGGCTCACACATTCATTTTTTTAAGTAGACACATTGGGTGCAGTTTATCCTGATTTCTTTAATGTTCTGGTCAGTGGAATGAGTGTACACTTTAAACTGTGGACTTAATAATGTAGATTTAAACTAATAGGACGTGGTGCACTGAGGAACAATTATTTATAATTCAGTGACCTTCCTAGAGGAAGATGCGGTTGCTATACTGTAGCATCATTCCATAGCTGGATCTCAAATTTTTACTATTGAATTATTTTAAAGTGATGATTTCATTTAAGTGATAGACACCATGAGAAAACATGCCATAACATAATCAGTGTCCCACACAATCTTATGGGTAGTTAATACTTAAATTAGCCATACTAATAAATAACTTTCCATAATTACCATTTGTATTCCTTTATTTGCTATACAAATTCTTTTTCCTAAACTTGGGTAAAAATGAGATGGAGTAGGGTACCACTGTTTCACAAACATGCTACCCTTCCCCCCTTTAGCAGCAGAAAGGTTTTCTAGAGGAGAGAGAACAGGAAAAATGATTGGCTAAGGATACCCAAAGTCATCTTAGGTAGATTTGGGCTGGTAATGGCAAGTGAAAGCTGAATCTCAGTGCTTTTTCTTTTTTATATTATCCAAGGCTGGTCAGTCCTGAAGGATGTCCCACTGAGTTAGGCTGTGTACAGAGTTGGGAAAGCATAAGCGTGGAATTAGTATAGTATTCTGTTTTGTTTTTGAATATGTTCCTAAATACTTTAATGAACATCTGTGTAAAAAAGGTTAAAATAAAACAAGATATTAATTTTTCTTACATCTTAATTCTTTTCTTACAAACTCAATTTCCTAGTGTGAACTCATTGTGTATTCTCTTTGAAGGCTTCAAAACTTCCAATGTCAATAATTATAGTTGGTGTTGGACCAGCAGAATTTGATGGTGAGTAACAAAATCCAATAGTATTCCTTGGGAGTTTATTTAATTTAATCTGACTCATCACACTCTTGAGTTCCTATCACTCTTTTTAAAATAAATGAATGTGAGTGTGCAGGTAGGTTTGTATGTAATGTCCATGTACATTAGGCATCAATATTGATCTTTCACAATGAAGTCTATTAAAGTAAGCAGATTAAAAGATTGTCTCCCAAGTAGAACATTGCCCCTCTGGTATAGATTAATACAACATGTATCTTCCATTTCAGTAGAGACACTTTGTAGCTCAAAATAATATTTTTTAAAGACTTACAGAGAGATAAATTGAGTTTTTGTTCCCAAGGCAAAGTACCCTCGGGGTTTACTAAAAACCTTTGAGAATGAACACTAAATTAATAAACCATTAGGTTGTGAATAGAAATGTTAACACAGTATAAAATTCCACTTTAATGGATTTTTAGTCCCATACTAGTTGATAGACATTAGCTGTATAAATATATGTTCTTTCATATGAAAGTACAAAATGAAAATAGAACTGACCGTATAAGATTTGAAGGGAGTTTATGTAATTATGCTAAATTGACTTACTTTGTAGTTAGTTTTCTGTTTGGGCTCAGGTCATGGTCAAATGCTAAGTGACAGGTGTGTTTGTGTAATTAGTGATCTGGGAAAAGTTCTTAAAGGACAACCTGTTAGCCCTGGCCTGGTGGCTGAGTTGGTTGGGGCATCATCCCATGCACCAAAGGGTTGTGGGTTCAGTTCCTAGTTGGGGCACAAGCCTAGGGTGCAAGTGAAAAAAGGATAGCCTCTGACAAGTTATCTGGTGAATTCCTTTCAGAGAACTCTGTACTGGACTGTACCTGCATGACTTCATAACATTCACCTAGTTCAGGTGTTTTATATTAACAATGACAGTTTCTTTAGCTTGGGACTTTGGAAATGAAAATAATTTTAGGATTTTGGAACAACTTTTGTTATGTTAAGTTAATTTAGGCATGTTGGTAGCTAATTTCAGTATGATCATCACGGTGTTAGTCCTCAGTTAACCACCAGTGCCTCCTCCATAAAGGCAGTATACATCTGTCTGTCTCAGATAAAGAACCACAAGCAAAATTACATTGCTGACTCTGAACATTCCTCCCTTCAATTCCATGCTTGGATGGTCATCCCTTTTATCATTATAATCTCCCATTTTCTAAAGCAAAATGTCATTTGGCCTGATGGCTGCTGCTTCTGCTAACATTTTCTGTCTCTGGATATTTGCATCCACTTGCATTGTATTTCAGGCATGAATATGACACCCTTCTCTGGAGTCAAGAAAGCTAAAACACATCTTTTTTCTTATTGCTCTGTGCACTTGGTCATCTGCATTAATTAGTGACCGGCTGAGATTTCACAATCTTTACCCACTGCTAGGTTAAAATAACTATTGCTTTCTTCTTCAGCTACTAATTTGCTTTTGCCTTTCAAGGATACACCTCCGATTGGGTACCTCTCAGGTCTCTGAGACTCCTAGGAAGTCCACTAGCAGGTGTTTGAACTCAGAAGTGGTAACCCCGGTCACCTATTCAAGAGCCCCCACACATAATGTTTGAATACAGAGCCACTGATTCTTCTGGTGTATATTTCTAGTTGTATATTTCTATTTAGTGCAAAAGATACTGCTTTTTATTTTGTTCTTTTCTTTAGTTCCCAATGAATTATTTATTAGCATTTTGAGGTATGATTATTCATCATTTCCCTCTCTGACTTCCTGAAGTAATGGGGGAAAAAAAAAGATACACAGGAAACAGACAGGGACCAAACAATAAGCTTTATTACCAGTGATGCAGAATTGGAATCTGGGTTAACCAGTACACAGAGGCAGACTTCCCACTACTTTCTTCCCCCAATATTAAATGACCACACCCTTATCTCGAGGCCTCCTCCATAGAGGGGCAGGGTCTTGCCACAGGAGCATCCTCCATACAGGAGCATGCCACAGGGAGGAACTGCCTCCAACCTGAGGACAGGCAGCTCCAAGAAAGAGAGATTCAGGGTCAGTTTCTTCTCCTAATCTTACTAATCCCATGAATCCTTCCTCTTTCCGAATGGAAAAGTGAGTGAAGATTGTAGACCAAGAGGGAAGTTTCATCCCTGTGGAATTCCCACCTGGGAGTTAGAGGGAAACTTTCCCTGGCAAACCTGTGGACAGGGAACTAGGGTCCTGCACCACTTGGTTTCTGCTCTCACCAGGGTGGAGGTTTAAATAGGATGGACCATCCTCCAGGCCTGGTACTAAAAAATTAGATTATTCCTCTAGGAAACAATAGGTGCTTCTCTAAAGGGTTTTTTACTTCCCTCTCAAAACACATCCATGGCTAAGAAGAAAGGGACAGAATACTCATGTTTAATGTAGAAAATCTCCAACTTCCATTCAGATTCCTGCTGTCTTATCAGAAGGGCCTTTCTCTGGGCACTTACCGCCAAAACTACCATCGAGTAAGTTTACATGTCATACTTATAAACTGGTATAGGGGGGAAAAAGATATAAAGCTTGCAAATTTTATCAGTGAACCACCTAAATGCAAAATCTACACCTGATTCACATGGGCAAGAAAGGAAATATTTCACTATCCATTTTTTGAAGGTCAAGAAAGTTGGAATAAACTATTAGATTAATGTGCATTCAAATTGATTTCTATAGTTTAATAAGAACAATTTACAACTTTCTGTAAAAATTTCCCCCATTGATTTTTTACTTCTTTATAAAGCACCTTCATTAAGAAGAAAGATTTCTCAAGGCTAAATCTTTATCTAAAGATAAAGATTTCTTTATCCTTAAAAGGCAAAAAGTCAATTTAAAGCAGCACCTGGCTACCGGCTTTGATCCACTCACATTAGAAGAAGGGATGAACTGCAAGGGGCTCTCGTTTCATCCCGTCTCCTGTGGCTGGAAAGTGCTGCAGGTCTATCTCTCGTACACGTTCTCCAAGGACAGATACTGGTGGGGCACTAGGGCTTACAGCATCAGGCTCCTTGGGGACAAGATAATCCATCCGTAAACCTGAAGGGCGAACGCCACCCTCCCACCACTTGCTCGTCATTTCTTTTCTCCTTGCTCTCAAAAGTGTAGTCTTGCCACATGCAGCCTTTTAACCCAAAAGACACTCTGGAAAGTGGGAGATACTTTATAGGATCTCGCTCTAACATATTATTGTGTGAATAACTGTCATTTTCTTTAATTAGCAAATTCAATAATGAAAGGAGAACTTTTGCCAGCATGTCATTATCAATACACATTTGTATATCAAAGTAATAGGAAAATTTTGAAAACATATCTAAACCATAAGGAGGAATTAACCCTTGAAAGTATTTGAGTATAATGAGTTATTTTATGTATATCCCTAAAAAAATAGAGGAGACAAAAGTAGGTCTTCCGTAGTTTGAATAAGTTAATCACCTTGTCATCAGTCATATGTTCACACACATGTTGCTGTCTTATGACCTGTGTTGTCTATCTAAACAATCGGGAGTGGTGGCTGTCTTTCAGTTATGTGTACTTGTGATGATTCAGCTCAGACTCATGGGCCATGTGTAGAAAAATAAAATTTAAAACACTGTTTTTAATCCAAATGCATTATTCATGCACTAAAGAAAATAACAAAAAATGTGAGGGTTATATTCTGACTGAGCAGTAAGTTTTGGAGGGTTCAGAGGCAAACATTATAATTGCAAGTGGCTCTTATGAGCCTAGTGAATGTCATGTGTATAGAAAATGAATTATCAGTAATAAAATTATACTTTAAGCACAAATTAGCATTCCTCATGTAATTAATTATTTAGAGAATCTCACTGAAAACCTAATAAACTCTAGAAAATGTCCTTAACTGCAGCATAACATTACTGTATCACCAAATGAACCCTTACATTGCTGCATTCCCAAATGCCAGCTGATCCGTGTGATGTTGAAATTCTCTCTTAACCAACAAAAAAATCATATTGAGAAAAATGATACTTTATCCAGTAAGTATAAGGGCAGAGCAAATATTTCTTTGCTTTTAAATCAGTAAGAGTACAGTTCAAATCGTTTTTGGAAATTCTGTGATGATTAGCACCAAGTTTCTTAAGTTAGAAAAAAAAAAGTAAAATTGAATGGATTAGTACCACTTGCTCAGTCATGTAAAGTGTATAACCCAGATTTGAGAACCCCTGGGATGGGCAGATGCGCCCAAAGACTATTCTCTACTGCATCGGCTCTTGTTGTCTTTCAAGGGGTCACAGGACATGGCTTTGCTTCATGTGTACAGTTACCCTCAGTCAAGTTCTGTGAGAGAAATGGCTGAGAAGACGAAGGGATCAATAGCTTTCTGATTTTACAGAGGGTGTATCGCTGCTTCGTGCATCTTGATTTCGTTATTGCCTACATTGTTTTAGTAAATGGCTAAAGTACACTGGATTAATAATTCCATTTTATTTTCAAGCAATGATTGAGTTGGATGGAGATGATGTAAGAGTTTCCTCCAGAGGAAAATATGCTGAAAGGGACATTGTGCAGGTAAGATATTTAATGAAAATTATTTATTTTTGTCATTGTGAACAGCTCTCATCAGTTCTGATACATAAATAAATTGAACTTAAGAGTTTCAGGTTCTGTTTGATTTAATTGGTGGATTCTCTATGAGGTTTCCTTTCAGTAACAGGGCCTAGAATAAGCACCAATTACTTCCCTTTGGACTTTAGATCCATGATATATAAAGTGGAATTGTTAGTAAGTTATTTTTATTACTATTTTATTATTATCTACTTTATTATTACCATAAAGTATTGAGATTTTTAGTAAAATTAGAATCTAGAAACATAATAGACTTTTTAATGATGTTTATTTAATCATTGTTTAGTCTGCAACAAAGATTAAATATATTTTAAAGCAGCTGATACATATTCAGAGTAGGTAAATTTAGTATAAGCAAACCAAAAATGTAGATATTGTCATACTTTCTTTATAGACTATGGTTAGAAAGGTGGAGAAATAGATCTTAAAAGCACAATAAATATATAAATTATATATAAAATATATGGATTCTATATAACCATAAAGATAATATAATATGTAACAATATACAATGATATTTTTTGTATATATGATTCACAGTTATGTTAGAATTTAAAAAGAATAATAGAAAGAAAAATAATTAGTAACCAATGTAATTAAAATATATAATTACAAACAAGGAGTTAATTCAACTAAATTTCTGCACACTTTAGTCTCCATATCTTTTAGGATGTCTGAAGGGGAAAATGGTTGTGAGCTTTAGCCCCTTAAATAGGAAAGTGAAGAAGGTGTCAGTGTCATTTCAGCACACAATCTTAATGTTTTGGAGGATCAAGCAATGGACTTCAGTATTTTCTCTTAAATTAATAAACTACATATTCACCCATAGTACAGTCATTAAGACAATCTAATTTGTAATCCGGCAGAATGTGGTTCAAATCCTGGATTGTCCAATTGTGATAACTTGGAAAGTTTCCTAAATTTTAGTGTTCTGACATGGCTGTAAAGATTAAATGAGATAATGTATATAAAATATATTCCTAAAATAGAACTCAGCAAAATACAATAAAAACTATTAAAATAATTTGAGGGAGATTATAACATAAAGTAATTTATAAATATGATAATATAAAGATTAATGTTGATAAAGATATTTAAAAGCATTGTTCTTAATCAGTCAGCAAAATGAAATTTTAAGTAAGGAACATTTGCATTGTAGTTTTTTAAAAAGATAATTAAACATGACCCTGGCTGGGTGGCTCAGTTAGTTAGAGCACCACCCTGTACATCAAAAGTTTGCAGGTTTGATATTCAGTCAGTACACATGCCGAGGCTGTGGGTTCGGTTCCAGTCAGGCTGCATCGGGGAAGAAGCAGACTGATGCTCCTCACATGGATGCCTGCCTGCTTGTCTGTCTGTCTGTCTCTCTCCCCCCACCTCTCTCTCTCAAATCAATAAAAACATACCCTTGGGTGAGGATTTAAAATAAAAAGATAATTAAAATGACATATGTTTCAACCTAACATTCTTGGTAGTGTGAAAAAGCACATGGGCACGCATGTGAATGATTAAGTTAAAAGCAGCTCGGAAAGGGAGCACAAGTAATGCGGTCATCTATTTCAGAAACCCATGGTGTTTCCATGATTAGACCCATGATTATTCACCCCAACCTCATTAGCATAATTACAGGTTCAAGTAATTACAATTTATCTAAAAGCTCTCCATAATGCCTGGCTCACAGATTCCAACAATTAAATTACTAAAGGGAAGTATGAATTTGAAGTCCTTGAGAATGTGGTATGTTGTTTTGGTAATATGTTTTTACAAAGTTAACAGAGGAACCCCGTATCTCATAATATTATCTAAATGATGCTTATGGGAGACTTGGTATTACTTGCTTAAGATTGCTTATATCTTAAGATTTTCTTTAAGAGAGCTAATATTTGTGTGGGTGATAGCCAGCAGTTCTTATTATATTTATAATAAGTATTGATGATGAAAGTATTTAGTCTCTCAGTGGGTATGCTGTATTGGACAGAATATTGCTAAAGGACTCAGTTCTATGAAATTATTTTGTTGGCACTCTGACCTTGAACATGCCAATAAATCTCTTTGAGCCTTTGTTTCATTAACTCTAAACACTAAATTCTTTCCTCTTTGCTCTTCTTATGATGTGAGTTTCAGAGGACATAAAACACATGAAAATACTTGTTCCTTATCAGTTAAGGTATATGTAAGTACAATTATATTTCCTCTCCTTTATACTTAGAATCCTGAAGACCAATCCACTTCCATAAACTGATACTGGGATCCCCAAAGGTTTTCAAGGCACCTGGGAACACAGCTAAAAACACTCAAGGGATTTTACCCCATACAATTGAACTGAAAGAGCTGTGAGATCTTACACATTCTGAACATATAATTAAAATGTCCTCAGATTGTTAGTAGCTTCTGAATGACAGTGACATCTTGACTTAAATGCCTACATTTAATTAAGGAGATTTGGTGTGTCCTTTTCTAATTTCATGGAGAAATTCCTAGTGATTGGTCTTTTAAAAATAGCAAGCAAGATAGTATCATTTACATACAGTATCTTACTGAAGAACAATTAGCATCCTCTCTCATCTTGAATAAAATTTTAAAACATCCCACCATCACAGTTTTCCAGCCTCTACCATCCACTAAAACATTCCTTAAATGAATTATTTTCAAGAACAGAAATACCCTTGATTAGTTAGTGTATCAGAGTTGCAAGGGCACACAAAGAATGGCGTGATCAATCTTCCCATCATCAGAAACTGTCTAAACTGTCACAATAAATGCTGTAAACACTGCTGGCTATGATACTGTCAGAAAATAGGGCCTAGTTAGACTCTCTTATATTTCCACTTTGAAGCTAATCAGGTTTGTACACAGCAAACAAAACCCCAAATTTAAGTGGACCAAAACCTAAGGCTGCAAATAATAGTAGGTAGCTTGAGTTTCAGCAGATAATTGAGGGTAGTAGATGGGGTATTCATTATATTGTCAAGTCTTAAATGGCATCCAAATTCTTCATATAATAATGACATTTAATCATTTATTAAGTCTTTCATATCCTAGGTAGGCTAAGAGCTATAGCATTACTTCACTCAGTCCTTAATTGACTTTGTTGAGACAGGAAGATTGATTACCATATTTTAAAAAAGAAGAAATGAAGTTTAATTTCTCTTTTTTATAGTCACAAGCTAGTAAGAAGTAGAGTCACAATTTAATCTTAAAATGTTTGATTCTAAGATTTTAAATAAATATTCTGCATAACTGATTCTAAATCTTAAACATGGCATTTAAGAGTCTCCATGCCCTGACCCCAGTCTTTTCTTTAGCTAAACACTCCCCCACACACACACTCATACTTTGTCTAGACAAATAGGAATATTAATTATCTTTGCACCACACATTTTCATTGTTCTTGCTCTTATTTTCTCTTTTCATTTTACTGGAATAGTCTTCCTCCTCATTGGGTTGATTAAAATCCTACATTTTGGAATTTCCCACTATACTGCCTTTTGCAATGGCCTCTCTCTACACGCTTGAACTAATTTTCTTTTAAAAAAACTATATTTATATTACTTTATATCTTTTTAGAAATACTGGTCAGTTTTTGCCGTATAATAATTTATGAACAAGGAAACAGAGACTCGAGATATGGTGTTAAACAACTTATGCAAAGTTATTTAGATCAAAAGTTGGTTGATCCAAATTGTCAACAGAGCTCTGATTGCAAATCCTATATTCATCATGTGATAATACACCTACTCTCCTAAAATGCAAAATGCTAGTGAAGATTATTAGGATCTATTCCCCTTTCCATATACTGTCATGGTTAATGAATCAGAGTCAGATTAATTTGGGTTCAAATAATAAGTGATATTTATAACTAACTATCTGATATTGGATAAGTTCATTAAACTCTCCAAGTTTGTTTCCTCTTGTCAGCTCAAAATATGGATAACACGATTATAAAAATTAAATATTACAAGATTTTATACTGAATCTCTTAGCAGAAGGCCTCCCACTTACCAGTTGCTAAATAAATGCATTAATGTCAGTATCAGTTATTCTCATAAGTGGGTTGGCATAATCCAGGGGAAAAGCATTTTATGTCACTATTGCATAGTGGCTGTACCTTGACAAATGACACTAGTCAGCCTGATGTGTGATTATATTCATTGCCTCAGGACTCAATTTCATCTGACTAGAGTATAAACAGTAAGCAGGATGAGATCCTAAGGTTGTTATTCTAAAACTTAAATGAGATTTTTTGCTTGCTTGTGATATGGATTGGGCATTGTGCATAAAGCAACATAATTTCTCTTGGTTGCATACAGCTGCTGGCCAACCTATCATTTTCTTAAAAATTGTATTCAAGTTGTATTTTCTGTTAAAAGGAGAATAATAACCTTGAAGACTTAGACTTGAAAATCACTAATGGAGCTCTGCACAGTAGGAGCAATCGAGTAATATTTAGCAGAACAACAACTAAAAGCCCATTTGCCCAAACTGATTTAAACTTGTTTTCACAAATAGACAAGGCCAGACATCAGAGCAGCCATGAGGAACATTTTCCTTATAGTGGATGGATGCTAGGAGAAAGACGTACAGTATGAGAGATATACTACACTTCTACAGAATAGAATGCATTTATTCCTCTAACCCAAGCATTTTAAGAGTCCAAGTTAATTTGTAATAATAGTCAATGATAATTCATTCACAAATGTGTGGGCATTATTCTGAACAGGTGGTCCTCAAGTACAGTGGTCATAAAGGAGTGATTAAAAGACAGTAACAGTAAACAGAGCGGCCTGAGAGGTGCAGTGGATAACTGATTGTAGAAGGATATGAACAATAGTTTAAGAAAGAGGACATCTATTTTTTCATGAAAACTCTAAGATTTGGCATTAGTAACAGGTAAAGGGAATGAAGAGTGACTTGTCATTTTCACTCTGACATGATTGAATTGATGAATGTCCCTTTGGAAAAGGTTTAGATAATCTAGGTTTATGAACAGAAAGTTCTCAGCATTTTTTTCTGTACCAAATGCACATACAGAATGAGGCACACTCCTATGGATAACAGTAACTTGCTACGACAGTCATTTTCAGTCTGGGGCACCGTCCCTTAATACTGAAGGGACCTATCTGTGCCCCCGTCTAACAAACCTAAGTTAGATATAGCGTTCTCTCATCCATTATTTATAAAAGTGGTTTAGATGAGTATAACTCTATGTGTGTGATCATGGTTCTTAGTTTTGACATTCTAGAATATCATGACATTCTTAAAAATAAATATCAATTCACTTCAATAAAAAATTTAGCACATCTTATAGCATTTGCTGGAAAGGTGAAATAACAGATGTTTTAACATTACAGAAAGGCCGGGAATTACTATTTTAGATTACAATACTGATACTGTACTTAAATCTGAAAGAGATCAAATTGATAAGAATATTCCTTGTATTTAGTGTTTGATAAGAATGTAAATATAATACTAAGAAGATAGTTTCATATTTATGTTGAATATATAATTGTGTAAGTTGATGAATAGTTATGGTGATGATAATAACTACTATATAGAGTATATATTATGAATTGAATGCTGTTTTAAGCACTTCACTTGTCAACTTACTGTAACAACCCAATGAAGTAGGTTGTTATTACTATCCTCACTTTGTGGAGAGGAGACTGAGGCCAAGAGTGGCAAGCAACTTGCCCAAGATCATGCAGCTAGTAAGTAGCTGAAGCAGCCTCCGAACCTGGGAAATCTAATTCCAGAGTTTGCGAGAATAGTGGTAAAAAGATAAATGAGTTTAATACCCCTGGTGTAGAAGAAAGGTAAAGAATCAAATAAAAATATAAGAGCAAAGTCGAAGTAAAGGAGAGGCCAGGCCAGCGAGCTCTCCTTCCCTGCAGAGGTGTCAGCATTTCCCTGAAAGGCAGATACAAGGTGCATATTCTGAAGGGAAAAAAATACAGACCCTTCTAAAAAGCAGCATAAAAGATTATTAGATGTATATGAACCACATCAACATCAAAAAAATATTAACTTTTAAAATACCATACTTTTAAAAATAAGGATGAAAATAATTATAGCTACAAGTACATACCTTTTTCTTATTAATCCTTAACTATGTTGATTCCTATTTGATCACTTTTCTAACTATAGTTTCAGAGAGAAAATAAACCTTAACTTTTTTTGCACCTTGGATTTTTTTAAATGAAAAATGTCAAGTCATGTCCATAGTTAATGCAATTTCACAAAAAAGTTCACATCCCCCACTTCTCTTCTCAGCTGAAGATTATGTGTGCTCTGTTGGTTTTTTTCTTACCCTTACTTAGCTACTTTCAGGGGTAAGAGTAAGATTTCTCTCCTTTCTATTATGCTTTTCAAAAAAGTTGAGTTTTCATCCTCAGATGGATATAATAGAGTAAAATTATAGTCATAGAGATACCCTTCTGCCTACAGTGTGTCTTAGTTGTTTTTAAAGGAGTGATTTTTCGACTCTTCCTTAAAACTCGCTGTTTTCACTGTATATAAAAAGTATTACCTGTGTTATTTGATTTCTTAACATTTTTACTTGGTTTAACTGTAGCAACCTGACATTTTAAAGCCTACTTCCTAATAACAGTTGTTTTCTGAAATCACATTTTCAGTAGCTGCTTAAGTCAAGAGGAAGTTTTTCAAAATAAACTTAAAAACAGTTAGATATTAATAAGAGTGTGCTCACTCTTTCTCTGGGGGAAAGGATTTAATTTAAAACATTATACTTAGAAATTGTTCAACATCCTAAAATGTCTTCACTCTCCTTTTTCTCTAAGACCTACAATCACTGTGTTCCTGAACTACCACAATGTTAACAGTTCAATCACTTCCAAGTTGCTTCAAGAATCACCATGTCTCTAAGGGGAATTGAACAAATGCCCTGAAATAGCACTGTCTTTATTAATTTCAGCATCATTAAAGATGAGAATGAAATCGGGCAATCTGTTGCCAGAGTATCTGGGGTTGAGCTGATAAGGACTCCACATAATTGCTTATATAAAGATAGAGCGGTCATTCTTATATGATGTAAAAGTAAGAAGGATGATATTTCCATCACAAGTGTATCAAATCTCAGGCTGAGCTTTGTTCATTTGTTTGTTTGTTTGTGTGCCTTTCCAAATAACAGATATCAAAAAATCAACATTGGGGAAACTCAATGGACTGAATACAGGGTGGGGCAAAAATAGGTTTACAATTGTAGGTACGTGAAACACAGAGTTTATTCTTGTATTATTATTTATTAATTATTGTATTATTTTCCATACAAACAATGGTAAATGTACTTTTTCCCCACCCTGTATTTCAGGTCCCTGCTGATATCAACTATGTGAATTGCATAACCATGCCCTTATGATGTGGTGTTCTAATCATAATTTAAAATACTTTACATGGGTCTAGGAGTCTTTAATGATATACACTATATTTTTTACCCCTCATTGGGTAATATTTCTGCTTTGAAATCTGAATTAGGCATGGATTAACCACTTGACAACAAACTGAGCCCCAAAGTGGTTCCTCGTTCCCTCCTATTGGGTGTCAGGCCAGGTAGAGAACTCAAACTGCAAAACCCATGTAGTGACGTGATGGACATCTGGGGACCAGAAGCCATGGATTACTGAGGGGAAACATAGAAAACAATTACACCTGTTTTTATTAGAAAGTTTTGGTCATGATTATAGTTATTTGTAATGAATCAAATATCTTTAAAATACATAGTGGTTATTGTCCGTCTCTCGTGACTCTGGTCTCCAATACTCCTACAGCCAGCAGATCCTTGTGCTGATATTTGTGTCTGTTAGTTAGCATGCTGAAGTCTGTGAATTAACTCTCTCTCACTTCTGCTTTCTAGTTTGTGCCTTTCAGAGATTATATCGACAGAAGCGGAAACCACATACTGAGTATGGCTAGATTGGCTAAAGATGTCCTAGCTGAGATCCCTGAGCAGTTCCTCTCTTACATGAGGGCCCGAGGAATCAAGCCTTTGCCTGCGCCTCCCCCGTACACCCCACCTACACATGTGTTACAGACTCAAATATAACTGTGCTCCGAAACGTTACCATGAACGGCATGTCAGTTCCAACTGCTGAGTCAGGCTTGGTCCTGATGCTCTGTAACGAACCAGGGAATGAGGACCTTTCCTCTGTTTGGTTTCAGCAGTACTGGTTAATATGCTTTCTGGGATCCAAAATTATTCTCTTCCTAAACCAAAACTGTAAATATGGTTGTTGCATGAGCAACAGAAAAATTCTCTGAATGCTTGAAGCAAAATATGGATGTCTTCTCTGAACCTTTACTTTTCTTTTCTTTTTTTTTTTTTTTTTGACAGAAACAGCTAGTTTCCAATGTGTTGTTGGGGAAAAGCACAAACTATGTTTTTAACTAAAATATTGTCCTCGACTGCTGTGTGTATAGGAAAGCAGTCTTTCTGTATCAATGTTTACATGTTACTACTTTTTAAATTTCAATACTTTTATAACTGTTCTTAAGAATAAGAGTTTTGCATATTGAATCCTTTGTCTTCTAAACTGCAATAGCTATAATTACAAGAGCAATATCTCTTTGAATGACTGTCTGGACAAATACAGTTGCAAACAAGGGAAAGGGAAGGTACTTGCATATTTCTTCAGTGAGGGAATTGTCTTACGAAGCTGCATCTGCTTAGTAATCAATTCCTCTGCATTTGCCAAGTATGGGAGTTTCAGCTTAGCAGATGTATGTCCTGTAAGAACGTGCATTTTTCATGGAGCTTGGGTTCTAAATTTAGACTGCAGTCAATTTATGTTCTGTACTGCTAAGTAGAAATTTTTCAAAAGTCAAACATTGTGAACTGAAAATGCACAAAAAATACTTTGTGTAAAAAGTGTAGCCTCTTTATATCATAATGCTATTTAGAAAGACTAAAACCCAGAATATTTAACTGTGAACCATGTAGCAGAAGTTTTAAAATTTTTATTCCATTATACCTTGTCTAGATATTTTAATTCAAAGGGATACTGGCTCTCTTGGATTCCTTATCACCTTTCCACATTGCCACACAAGGGTGCACCGGCTGGAAGTTTTTTGTGAAATTCCCAGTTAAATACACACAACCATGTGACTTAGTGCACAACACATTTGTGAAATAACCTACTCCTATATACTAATCTGCGTGTCCACAATTAATTGTAAAGAGTTTTTGCATGTACAGTTTTTACAAGAATTACAGTTTTGTGATGTTGTGTCCAAGTTAAAACATTTCTTTAGAACAAATGGCCTTAACTCCTCACAGAATTCCTGGAAATGATTGTGAACTGCCTTTAAATAATAGAAAAGTGTATTTATTTTTTTCTTTTGTGTCAATAATGTAACTGCTTTATAATATTTTCCTTACTTATACATTTACTACTTGGTTTATTTTTACTGTATGTTGTTCTCTTTGTCCCAAGTTGACTTAGGGTGACTTTTATAAGCATGAAACTATTTTACTGAAGAGAAAAATATATACATCCACATATCCAACAGTATCAATATTATATAATTATGTAATACTAAGTTGTCCATTTTTAAGAATGTATTAAAATCTTTAAAAGGATAACTATTTGTTTTGTAAATTTTATTTCTAATGACATTATGATGATTCCCTTTTTTGAGCTTAAATATTTATGCCAGTATAGTTTATTAACCTATAGATTTTATTTATCTTTATCAGTCCAAAATAACAAAAATAAATAAGATTAATATTCTTTCCTTCTTGTCAAACATCAGTCATTTTTCTTTGAACTGATCAGCAAAAATGAAAGAGGTGCCTTTTCTTATCTAAATAACAGTGTGTCCAAACCTTCTGGGGGTAAACCACTAAGAATGGAACAATCTCAGTTACAAACCTGTCCTTTGTATGGCTATCAATAATTATCAGAAATGCGTGAGGTTAGTTCCATGTGTAAGATTACAAAATACTTAGTCTTGTCTTGCCATTGCCTGAAGGACGAAACCGAGACTAAAAGGGTGGAATGGTTTATCCAGGACTGTATAACTAGACCAGAGTTTGTTAACTGTTGTGGAAATACTTGTTATGTGAGCCTAGATGTCATGAGTTGCTGTTAGGGGCTGCACAACGAGAACTTCCAGAGACAATTATTCCCTATTGCTGTGCACCTCACTCCACCTGCCCACCAAATATGCTTTCATTTGCTGTGCTGGTGCCTGAAAGTTACTTAACAATCAGTGGAGTCTTTCATTCCACACAATATAGGGAGTTGCTGAGATGAAACATGTGACACTTTTTAAAATTAATAAGCACACCTTGTCATTTTTTTTCTAAAAGGCTTTTCTTCACTAGATCTTTTCTTAAGCTGCCCTGTCCCCTTGATGAGGGAAGACTTGGTACATCATGAGTACAGAACTGTTGGAAAGGGCTTCCCATGCAGATGGGAAAGGGAAATTGAGAGAACCCACAGGATAGGCCTGAGCTCCGTTTACCACTCTTTTCATACATGGTCATCCCAGTACTGTTCATATCTCAGATTTCAGTTTCACAACCAGAGTAAGCATCCACTACATACAGGTTTTTCCAATGGAGAGTAAGATAAATATCCATATAAAATTATTCTTTAAATTGATGTGACTCCCAACAACTACTTTACTCAATGGAAGTATTTGTATATAATTTAACAAACTATACCCACATCATAAACACAAGTCTCTGGTGTCTGTACTAAGAATATTATCTAAAGATATACTAGTTAGAATTTAAATTACAGAATTCTGCTCAGTTTTAGAGGAAGCATGTTTAAACCTTATAAGGAAAGGTTGTTGTTTATTTCATACTTTATCAAACCACCTCCAACCCCATCATCTGCCATTGCTGTTACCTCCTGGGTCTTGGAGATGCTCTGAAGACCAAAATCTAAGAGAGAGGACCACTGGGTCTTATCATGGAAAGAGCAAAAATAAACTCTTCTAAAGATTTGCTCATTTAGTTTCAAAGCAATAGTGGCCATGACCTCATGACTTTCTCATCACAAAGTTATTCGCTAATTTAATTTCCATGAAACAGGCCCGCTGAGCATCCCTAATGTGTTTAGATAAGCTGATGTCACAGAGATAGGATTTGCTATTAGTCAGTGAGGTTGGTTGGTATCATTGACCTTACAAATTAGGAAGGAGGATGAGAGAAGAAATATACTCAGGGTTGGCTTAAAAATAGCTCCTTTTACAGAGCTCTTTACCTTACAAAATAAGTTAATGGAAACAATAACACTGATTCAGTTATTTTGACAGAGAACAACCCATTTGATAACTTTTAACATTTACACAAGATAATTCTGACAAGAAACACTATATAAAATACCTTTTATTTAGTTATCAAATTTATTTATTATTAAAACATTTTAAAATAATAAAATCAGAGTGTTTAAAATTAACAAAATTGGTTCATTATTTTCAACAAATAGCAAAAAAGCATATTCTATAATTTAGAGATGGGCAAGTTCAACATAGACTTTAGATAATAATTCTTCACCAGAAAATTTTTTTAAAGTAGGGACCCTGATAAAACAGAGGAACAATCATTAAACCCCTGCTTTAAATTCATTGAGAACAACTTTAAAGTCCCTAAACATTATAAGAACCTATTGAAAAACAGTGATGGGTTAGGTCATCACATGACAGTCTAGAGAGGTGAAGAGAGTTACAGGTACATTTCATTTTTTATTTATTTTATGAGGACATACAGTAGTTTTAAATTAATAATTTGAAATTTAAGTCCAAAGGATTATGTATGTGCTTAGCCTCTTATATAGGCTGGTTATAGAGTTTCTAGAAGCTTCACAAGAAGGGGTATAACACATCTACCATGCCATATACTGAAGTCAAAGGACCTGAGATTCCAACTCAGCTATCTGATTTTGGCAAAATATCACTTAAATACCTAAGCCTAATTTTTATCATCCATATATTAGGGTGATAATTCCAAAGGTCCTTACAGCACCACCCTTCTGTGGTTCTCTCAATAATAAAATTTATTTTAATTGGAACACACTTGTAGCTTGGCTCTTTAACAGCCTGATGGGAGGAGATTATTGAATGAATTTAATGTACTGAACTATCAAAGGGCCTTCTGAGATATCAGTCAGCAAGTGAAAAATCTCAGCTTCTTATTTAAAAGGCAGGTCATTAGCTAAGTCATTACTCCAAATCAGCCATGAATTCTCACCATTTCTTGGTCTGAGAACCAGGAAGATACGGGGAAAATGGGAGTTCCGTTGCTCTGTGAATGCCTTTGAATTTCTTTGTATGTGTCCCTCATGCCCTGCTGCTCTCATCCTGTCATTTATCACATTTTAATTAGTCATTTGCTATCTGTATATAAGCAGGTCATCAAATGAATTATTGAAAGTGAATTGGATCAAAAGGTTGATCATCAAGAATATCACATTTTAAGATAAGCCTGAATTTCAATATACCAATAAAATTTTAAAACCTCAGTATACCATACTTTTTCCATATTTATCTATCCCCCCTCTAAACCAGAACTGTAAAGAGAGTGAATAGAGATTAGCAGCATCTCCCTTTCCACCTGCTCTCTGGCTAATTAGCAGCGAAACGGTCAAAAGACAGGCAGGCAGCCGGAGAGAAGAGACTAATGAAGCTTTGAGGCATCTGATAGCCACAGGTGCTGATTTGGGATAGTCTGAGAAGAAAGTGCCAGGATCTTATGTTATTTCTGCTCTGAAATTTCCTTTGATCAAGTGTACTAAATAAAACAAAACTAAAAATAAAACACTCTTTTCAAAAAGGATGGACTACATTCTGCCTTAAAAATGAAAGAAAAAATAATTTGTATTTTAGGTATTGGAAGAGTGCACTGTATTCTTACCTTGGGATTGTATCTGTGCCCTGTATTTCTTGGTAGATTGTGTGGTGTGTGTGTGTGTGTGTGTGTGTGTGTGTGTGTGTGCGCGCACGCACATGTGTGTGTTGGGAGTGATTAAATGCCTTCATTCATGCATGTGCCTGCACATATGTTCAGGCACATATGTTCTTGTTCAGTGAACAAGAACAGAAGAAAAGACAATGCTTGCAAGCATTTGCTGCCTTTCCTGGTGCTGACTGTCCACCTGGGGAAGTATTCCAGCCTGCACAGAGTGTGGGCAAGAACACAGAAGGTTAGAACTGTGCAACTGCATTCATAACAGGATGGGTTGACTTGCAAATTCTACTATGCTAATATTTATGATTTTAATGTATTCTTGTATTTTCTGCTCCACAACAAGGGGGAAGGATTTGATGAATATGAATTTGGTTGTGGAGAAGAAATGTGGAAAACTGTATTACATATTTGTGTTCTAGCTCAGAATTCCACCACTGGTTGATAAGACTGAATTCCATTTAACTTTCTAAGAAGGGATGCATAAATATTCAAAATCTTGCCTGCACCCTCCATTAGGTAATCTATGTCCTGTAACTATTTCCTAAATGGTAGTAATAACTTCGGTTTAGCATTTAATCATTTCCATAGCACTACCTCACATGTAACCTCTGTCTACACCTACCAAAACTCTGCTCATCCACTAAGCCTCAGCTCAAATGCTGATTTTCAGCAAAGCTTTCCTGCATTCCCTGTATTACTAGGAATCAATACCTCTTTTTCTCCAGCCTGTATATAGGGATTCTACTTGCCTCCCTAGGGGCAAGCCATGTTTGCAGTGGAGAGTTCTTACCGCCAGAACACTGTGGAGGGTTCATCTAAGCCTGAGGTTCATTAACAGGAAGCCCATCTGCCTAAAGATGTGGTGAGTCACCTTCTCCAATGTGACCTTTGTCAGAGATAAAGGGAATGCTTTATCTCCCGTCTACTTTACTCCTTTGTCCTATTTCTCATTGCTTTAGAGAAGGGGTTGATTTACTCAGCCTCTCAAATAGCCCAACAGTATCCCAATGAATCCCCTGCCTGCAATGTTACTCAATCTCGTCACAGCCACTCCTGACTAGGATTCCCTCCACCTGGCAGGAGAGAATCCACAAATCTCAGTTTGTGTTCTGCCCTCGGCAGAGACATGTAGTTTATAAGGGAGGTAATCTCCCAGAGTGGGAACTAATATAATGATTGATATATTTAGATTAATATCCACTATCTTACTATTTTAAAAAATTTGTTCCACTCATATTATGTTTGATTTTTCTCCTTACCTGACCTATTTTTTGATTACTCAAATACTTTTTCTTATTTCATAATAAAATCACCAATTAGCCTCCAGTTTATATATTCTTACACTTTCTTTTAGTGTCACTAGAGATCATAATATGTATCCTGATTTATTTGATTCTAGAGAAATTAGTACTTATACCACCTCCCAGATAATGCCAGAATTGTAAACTTAACTGCACTTTTGTGATTTTGTTGTAATATATTTTAATTTCACCTATATATTAAACTCAATTAAATGACTGTCATTCATTTTGTACAGTTTATAGTACTTTATACTTACCCACATATCTTTTCCATTTTTCACCATTACAGCTTACATTTCAGTATTTCCATCTGAGATAATGTTTCTTTTGCCTTAAAAACTCTATTTTTTCTTTTTAGAGTTT